GAGAGTTCCAGATCTAGCATAGTCAGTCTTTTCATCACAGAAGTGTTTGCTCAGCACCCAAGGGCCAGGTAATTCCAGTACACGGGCCAGTCCTGAGTCTTTCATAGACCTTATCACGTTTCAAAAATAAGCATGGGATTATTTGCATGTTAAAAGATGTCTAAGGTGGCAAGGCGGCCATGTTGCCAGCTCCAGGGGACATCATCCTGTGTGTAGTCAATAGAAATGCGCCCCTTGGACCTGTGCTCTGAGAAGAACAAGATGGGAAGTAACCAGAGATAATGAAAACCCATTTAAATGGGGGGGAGCAGAGAAGAAAGGCTGGTGATAGGTACATAGTTTAACTAGTGAGTGAGTAAGGACGGTGAGGGAGGGTGGATGGTCTTGACCAATTGCCCAGTTTCTGGTCTGAGTGGATATGCTGAGGGGAGATGTGGGATGTGGGAATCAACTCAGATTATTGTATGTTTATGAATATCTGTCTCCAACTTCTTTCCAAAGGGAAAATCAACACGATTTTAGATTAACAAAAAACAAAAACAAAAACAAAAACATGGAATCCCATGAACTTGGTATAATTTTAATATTTGGGTTTGAACAATCTACGTATAAGCACATGAGTCATTTCTCCTCAGTACAGTAGATGTTCCTGATTAGCACTGAAAGCATATGAAAACTATAATTACTCTATATATCGATCTGATCAGAACCTTCACCATCAACGCCAGTTTGCCCATATTCAAAACATTGTTTCAGGCAATTCTGAGAAATGAATAGAAAATGAATAGGAAAAAAAACCCCACATCTATTTCATGACATTATATGAACAAGTCTCCTAACTCTCAAATTTGGAAACCCACTCATCGGTCTGAGTGTCTTTTCCCTTGGTACACCCAGAAACATTTATCCTCTGTTGCAATCGTGCATGGGTTATTTACACTTCAAGATTATAAGCTTATTGAGCAAGAACTTTGTATTATTTATTTTTCCAACCCATTTCACACTTTTTTCCACTATGTAGGTCACCTCCTTGCTGGGTGTGATTCAATATACATGAATAAAATTTGCTGTTTACCCACTGGAAAACTTAAAAAAAACTTAATTTTTTTCTTTTGGTGTCAGCTTTATTAATATAATTCATATACCACACGATTCACCCATTGTAAGTATATAATTCATGTTTTTTGTATATTCGAAGACATGTGCAACCATCACAGCAGTCAATTGTAAAACATTTTCATCACCCCTAGAAGAACCCCAACCCCTTATTCGTTAGCTATGGCTCCCCGGTCCCCTCTGTCCCCCAGTCCTGGACAAACAAGAATGTATTTAAAAATAGTTAGTGCTCAGTGTGGTTATCTCCATAGGTGTGTCTATTCTGGACATGTCATGTAAATGGAATCACAGAATGCGTGCTAAAACTTACTTCTGAGATAAAACCAAACACACAGATTTAAACAGGTAAAACTTTGTTGCTTTCGTCACTTCCCTTTGGCATGCCATGTCATCTCTCAAAACATTTTTTTCACCTGTTATTCTTGCAACAACATGTTTTAAAAGAGAGTAAGATTAAATCTTATTTTCAAGAATATTTAAGTATTTTGCTATAAACACTGATCGATTTTAAACTTAAAAAAATGACACCTGTCCTCTGTGTTATTACTGTTTTAACTTATGGCCATAGAAACAAACAAACTAATACTTAGGATCTTCAGATTTGGCATCCCCTTTAGTTCCCTCACTGTGGCGTCAATGTTTGTTAGCTCATTGTGGTGTAGCAGAAGTAAGTACAATGAAGGCAGAGAGTGCAGGCCTGAAAGACATTTTTTTACAAGATTTTAAACATTTTTAATGCTAATTAAACATGCTAACTAAACAAAAGCAAAGAATACATTTCAGCTGGTACAAGGAGTCATTATTAATAATAATGTGATTTATCATTAAGAATACAACAAAGCACAAGAATTCGAATAATTGAGTGTGATGTGGACATGGAGAGCCAACTTCTTTCCACTATTATTGTTTTCTGTTTTTTTCTCTGTAGCAATAATTTTTTTTTGTTTGATTTCAGAGGGGTTATTTTCCATACTCTTCTTTTTGTTGTGTTTTGTTTGGCCAGTGTTAGGTTCAGAAGGCCAATCAAGGGAAACATTGCTCACTTAACTCAATACCTTCCCCCAAATTGCTCAACTTAATATTTTCTTTACACAACAGGAAGCCACATATTCATATCACTTTTGTTGATTCTAAATTTCACATATTCCCACATTTTTAACAGAAATGAAAGTGGGTTGTGTCTTTACAAAGCCACATCATAGTTCAATTGGCAAGATTTTCTTTCTCCATGGTACATAGAATCATTGTGGATCTTAAAATTTATGACATTTTGACTCTATGATACATGATATTTAAAACAAATGTTTTGTGCTGTATCTCTTTGTATTTCATGATCCTAGTGCATCATGTACTTCTGTACCTGACTTAAATTGTCAACTTAGAGATAGTTACACATGTAAAATTAACTCAGAGTGAAAAGAGAAAGAATTTGGCTGGTAAAAATTATAGCCATTGAAAACATTAAGACCATTTATAAAGTTATGTTTATTAATGCTCCCAAATATTGTTAAAATTCGCTTCCCTAATACCCACTTTGTGTCCAACTGTGCAGGAGGATGGCAAAACTTCTATTTAAAAAAAAGATTCTTCTACATTTTGAATGAGGCACATGACAATATTACATTAACACTGTAATCCGAAGCACATTTTTCAAAATGAAATGTAAATAAGAACATTTTAAAAAATGGATTTCATCACATATTTTCAACAGAAATGTTCAAATAGATTTTTGCATACCATTAGCAGTACGATAATTACCAGTTATTACTCAATTGAAAATCTATTCAATCAGCAAACATTTAAGACATACCTCCTATGTCAAATATGGCATTGTTGTTCAGATACAGCTCTACCAGACAATAGTTTCTAGTTAAAAACGTTATTCCCTGGAGCTGAAAATGAAAGAGAATAATATACTTTCTATAGTAATTATATGTGTATATATATCTATATATCTATAAATAAATGTGAGTATATATATTTATAAAATTATAATAAGATCATAGAAGTTTGATGTTTGCTCTTATGATGATTTCTGACCATTTGGTCTGGGCTATGAATTTCCATCTGGATTGTCTTTGAGGGCATTGCAATGAAAAGGCTGTTTTCAGCTAATTGAAGACAAACCTCTCATCCTGTCTCTCCCAAACTTCTTGCATAGTTTTACATGCCTCTGTAATCTGGCCTGACCCCTTTGCTCTAACCTTGCTTCTCACAGTTCTGCCCCTGGCAGTGGATCTGGCCCCCCATACCCACTAACTCACCATCGCACATTATTTAGGGACTGGTATGTGCCAGGGGCTTTCTCCTCAATGCTGAAGCCATTTCCGCATCTGTGTAGGAGTCATGCCTTCTCTTGCCTGAGTGACTTTCTCCCTGGTGCAATTCTGATCTTTTTTTTTAAATTAAGATTTTATTTATTTATTTGACAGAGACAGCGAGGGAGGGAACACAAGCAGGGGGAGTGGGAGAGGGAGAAGCAGGCTTCCCGCTGAGCAGGGAGCCCGATGTGGGGCTCGATCCCAGGACTCTGGGATCATGACCTGAGCTGAAGGCAGACGCTTAATGCCTGAGCCACCCAGGCTCATCCCTCCCCCCCTTTTTTAAGATTTTATTTATTTGTCAGAGAGAGAGAGAGAGAGTGAGAGAGAGCAAGCACAAGCAGGGGGAGTGGCAGGCAGAGGGAGAAGCAGGCTCCTTGTTGAGCAGGGAGCCCGATGTGGGACTCCATCCCAGGACTCTGGGATCATGACCTGAGCTGAAGGCCAACGTTTAATCGACTGAGCCACCCAGCCGTCCCACGTTTCCAGTCATTCTTAAGCATCAGCCCTTGTCCAACAGGGCATACCAAACCATGCTTGAGGGACGCCTGGGTGGCTCCGTTGGCTAAGCGCCTGGCTTAGGTCATGATTTCAGGGTCATAAGACCAAGCTCGGGGCTCACACTCAGAGGGGAGTCTGCTTGAGATTCTCGCTCTCCTTCTACCCCTCCCCCTGCTCATGTGCACGTGCTCTCTCTCAAATAAATAAATAAACAAAATTTTAAAAACATCCCCAAAGTGATGCTTGGGTGGCTCAGTCGTTGAGGGTCTGCCTTTGGCTGGGGTCATGATCCCAGGATCCTGGGATGGAGCCCTTCCTCTGGGATATAGTATGAGCAGGGAGCTCGATGCAGGGCTTGATCCCAGGACCCCAGGATCATGACCTGAGCCGAAGGCAGATGCTTAATTGACCGAGCCACCCAGGTGCCCCTCATATCTTACTTTTAAGATTAGATTCGAAATTTAGTTCTATGAACTGCAAATAGTCAAAAGCAGTCTTGAAAATTCCCCAAATGAAGTACTGTATACAAGAAACGGGGTCTTCAACTCTAGACTGAGGGTCAGAAGTGACTGTTACTTTGCAAGGAGAACTCTGTTTTAAAAAAAATATATTGACTCTATGACCTCTATACAATTTAACAATTTGTTTGAGTTATAAGGATGGTAGAGCCATGGAGGTGAGGCCAGGTATCTTCTAAAAGCAGCAGGTAAGTTAAATACAAGGCGATCTTTCTACCTAATACAGGATCTATCAGGGAGAACATTCCCATTAAGTAGTTACTGACCACGTGCTTAGTACTTTCTATACAGAAGTATATGCTCATGATTATAAACTAGTTTTAGGAGTTTATTAAAACTTATCATAGCGATTATCGTTATCAGTTAAGTAGAACTGTTTTGGCCTTCCATGGATTGACTCAGAGAGATGCCGATGCATCTGATTTAGAGGATTTATTGCAAATTTTAGTCCTGAGACATAGCTCAGAAAAGCTATTTTAGGTTTGTATGCAAAGTCTCAAAACTGATTTCTTTTAATGCGTTTTTCTTTAATGTGCGTTTGCAGCATTCACAAATTATGAGGCTATAAAAGGCACGTGTGCTGCTCATCTCATCATTTCACAGATTCATCTGCACCCAATTATGTCAGCCCTCATGCAGGAGGACCACCAGCAATTTCCCACAGCTTTTCTTACATCACGAGAGTGACTACGTTCCTCCCAGGTAGGAGACCATGCAACGCAAAGAGGGTGTGGGGGTCCCAACTGGCTGCCTCTGCCTTTCTCCTCTTCCTACTGGCCTCCTGACGGCAACTCATTGCCTTCCATCCTTCCTTCCGCTCACCACTCCCTGATCGAATGGTAGCCACACCTGACACAAGTATAGACAACAAACCCGAGCTGGAACCATGACTCCTTCCCTTCTCTTCCAGTTGCCTGCCCGAACACACATCAACAGAACGTTTCTAATGACTCAAGACTTTAATTCCTCTTGCATTACTTATTAACACATGAAGAATACCAATAAACTCCATAGTTTCATCTTGATTATAGAATCATGGTTTTCCCAAGAGCATTAATAATCTTTGGGCCATGACTACTGGGACTTCAAGACTGCATGGTTTGTTGGGTGGGATGGGTAGGAGAATGGAGTGGAAAGAGATAAAGCTAGCTCATGAGGACCCTGGAAGCTATTACAAGATTTTGTGCAGAGGACTGTGACTGTCTAATTTTATTTTAGAAAGAAATTGGCAGGGAAGAACATGGTTTAGAAGGGAGAGTAAGTATAATGGCAGGCGTTGAATGAGAAGGGGGTTACACTAATTCAGAAGACTATGTGGCGTCCCAGAGGAGAGTAATTGCAATGGGAGAAGAAAAGTAGAGGGAATTGAGAGACAGGTCCAAGGTAGAATTCACAGGACTGAATAGATACTGCAATGTAGCAAGCTGTTGAAGTCAACATCTAGGAATGAGAACTGGAAGACATGCTGATGGTTCTGACACTCAAGCCATTGTTAAAGTAAATGGTATATATAAAATATATATAGTGTTATAATTATCCATTTAGAAAAATCTACACTATTAATTTGAAGGATCACCATAGGATTTATATTGAATGTGACATTTCACAAAACATTTATTTTAATTCAGGGCTCGGACATAAGTGCTCAATAAACAAGAGCAATTATTACTTAACCATTATTTTTTAGAGAGAGAGAGATAGAGAGAGCTGAGAGTACTTCCATTTAATGTAAAGCACTTACAGGTAGCCCCTGAGGTACTAGTGGAGAAAAAAATATGCCAGCATGAATTTAAAATTAAGGAGGCATTCTTTTAGAACAGGGCTTCTCAACCTCTCTAACTATTGACATGTAGGGCCAGATTATTCTTTGTTGGGGTTGGGAGGGCAGTCCTGTTCATTGTAGTATGTTTAACAGCAAATCTAGTCTCTACCCACTAGATGCCAGTAGAACACACACACTCCACTTGGGACAATCAAAAGTGTCTCCAGAGATTGCCATATGTCCGCTGTAAGGGAAAGATTGTGTGTGTGTGTGTGTGTGTGTGTGTGTGCGTGCAAAGTCACTTCTTGTTGGGAACTGCTGATTTAGAGTCAAGGGAAGAGGGGAGAGTCATCCTGATTAATTGCTAGTTATCAGTTGGCCCCTAGCTAGATGGCTTCACAGACATTATCCAATATGATGCTTACAATAGCCCTGTGTTACTTGTTTTATCCCTATTTACCTAGGAGGAAACTGGGCTCAGCGAAGTTAAACAACTTTCTCAAGGTAACAGAGCAAGGATGCAAATCCAAGTCTGTCTGATTCTCAGATCAAAAACTGTCATATAGTACATCATAATTGGGTTCATTAAAATAGAGGAACCTCTATATAAAGTAACCAGAAGACATTCATTTTGAACATACTTTGAAGTAATGGAAAATATTGTTAGTTTGAGTAATGGAAAATACTCTATAAATTATTTTTTTCTACTATTTCAGCAATGTCTTTCACCAAAAATCATGCTTAAAATACATTCAAAAATATTTGGCATAAAATGGGAAAAAATAGAAAACTCATCTCTCAACATATATGTCCGGCAAAGTACTATACATATACTAAACCAACTAAAATTCCATAATGTATGTTGTAAAGCTACTGGAAAAAAAGTAGCAATTCAAAAAATTCTTTACAAATATTTAAAATAGCACCTTAAAAATCATTTGATTTTTCAAATGCTCTAAGCTGTTTTTAGAACAAGGTATATTTGGTATTAAATGAATAAATAAATATATATGTACCCAAACCTTATTGAAGGAACAAACTAAAATTGTATATATTGGCATATGGAATATTTTCCAATACTCAATCTAAAATTTTCCATTGCTCAAACTACTAATATTTTCTATTCAAAATATTTTCAAATTAACATCTTCTCGATGGTATATATATATATATATATATATATATATTAAATATATACTTATTTAATCTTCACAACAAACTCATGAGGTATGAGTACTATTATTACCTTATTTTAAGGTTAAATCATTTTAAATCATAACTAGATATATAGTGTAGATATCTATGAATTTCACAAGCATGCAGTGAAGCCTTATTTAGGTTATTTATGTTGATTTACTTTTTTTGAAGAGGTTTTAAATATTTGGCAAAATATAATTCTTTCAACAAAGTTGACATAAAGGATAGAATTAAGGTTGCCCTGAGGCAACAGAAACATGTAAGAGCCCAAATTATGTGGAATGCATGCTAGTTCATTTTATTCTTTAATAGCTCTTGTGCTCTACTATGGGATTTGTGTGGCTCTAACTCGTTTTTTAGAACAAAGTATGTTATGTATAAATGAATAAATAAATATGTAGATACCTAAACCTTATTGAAGGAATCAACTAAAATTCCATGATGTATGTTGTAAAGATACTTGGAAAAAAGTAGTAATTCGAAGAATTCTTTACAACTATTTAACATAGCACATTAAAAATGATTATTTCATTTTTTAAATTGTGATTTGCTAATTTTGTACATTAGTGTTCCTTTCTAATATATACAAATTTGTGCTATTTACCAAATTCTCAATATGTGCTGACTGCTTAGGAGATAGGAAACAGTAACATATATATATTTTTTAATTATTAACATATAATGTATTATTTGTTTCAGGGGTACAGGTCTGTGATTCATCAGTCTTACACGATTCACAGTGCTCACCCCAACACATACCTTCCCCAATGTCCATCACCCAGCCACCCCATCCCTCCCACCCCTCTCCACTCCAGCAACCCTCAGTTTGTTTCCTGAGATTAAGAGTCTCTTACGGTTTGTTTCTCTGGCTTCATCTTGGGAAACAGTAACATATCTTAATGGCATAGAAGAATGAGTCCAGGATCTCTCTTAAAGTGATTTTTTAAATTTTAATCAGAGCATTCTCTGGTCAGTTAGTATGGAACACGGTATTATAAATAAGCATTTCAATGATTTTTTAGATGATGAAGTTTAAAAACAATGATTTTGCCAGAAGAGGTATTTTTATTTGAACTTGGTTTGTAAAATTTGTCACCTCTTTGGTCTTTGCTACATGGCAGAAACTCAGATTCCATTTTGGACTGTTGCTTGGTCTAATCACATGCTTATTCTAATCTGAGCCAAATGCAATATACCAAAGGACTGCTAGTTCTTCCAGAAATGGAAGAATACCACCATTGTGGCGCCAGCATTATGAGTTCATTATTGAATATGTGTAAAAGAAAATTTTTGAGGTGATGAGCCCAAACACAAATGGATCAAATGAATAGACCATCTGAAATTGTAGTGTTAAAGGCAAGTCACTCTACTTCTCATGGAAGGTTGGAAAGGATGGACGGTGACCTAAAATTCCCTCGGTCAGGCTTACTGGAAGACGAGACAAGGAAGGGAGCCTTTAGAAGGCCTCAGTCAATATACATCTAAGAGCAGCTGCCTCCCACTGATTCTGTGAGGGGAGCTGAGCAAAAGGTGACCCGGAAATGGAGGTGATTCAGAACTAGCGACTGACGATGCCGTACAAGGAGCAAGTAAGCCCTCAGAGAGTATCCTGAAGGAACCAGAGTTGCCTGAGCAAATCTAGCAAGGATGGGACATGGGAAACAACTTGTACTTACTTCATCTACTAGTCCAGGGTCAGACCAGAAGCTCCAGTTTGATCACCCACTAGGTAATAATGGGGAGAAGTGCCTTCTCTCCTAGCGTGCTAGGTTCCAAATACATCAAACTGTGTTCATTGCCTCCCAAGTCTATTACTTTCTGGCATTCCATTCCAGGCAGTTCGCAAATGCTGTGCCCTCACCAAAGCACAGCCATTCCCTCTGCCCTTAATTTTCTTATCAGAACAGGTACCGTCACATTTATTGTTACATATTCTATCAATGGCCTAACGCAAGTACAGAACAGGCCACATCAGGTAGGAGGCTTTTGGCGCCAGGTAATCTCTGAGCTCAACTCAAACTGGCCCGTTAATAAATGGAACCTTTATGATCTCACATACCAAGAAGTTCAGTGGTTGTGAGAGCCTCACTCTTAGTATTGCAATGATTCTCTGGGCTGTGCTTTTCTCTAAATGTCACATACATTCTCAGGGTGATGGGATGGTTCCTGCTTCACATCCAGGCAAGAAAACATCAGGGAAATGAGGGACCTCTCTTCTAGTGCTCTCTTTTAGGAATGAGGAAGCCCCTCACAAAACCTCCCTGCAGATTCTATGTCTCCGTTACCATAATTGGGATATGTTCCCATTCATTGACTAGCTACTCACAAGGATGATGGGACTATACTGAATGGCTTAGACAGTTCAGGATCCACTCCCTGGAACTGGGGATGGGGTCACCTACCTGAGTAAAAAGGAGACATATATACCAAAACCTAAGTCCAGATTCTGCTGGATAGGTAAAAGGAGAAAATAGATACTGAATGGACAACCAATAATATCCAGTACATACACCTCAACAGAATAACTGGTTGAATAAATGAATAAACAACAAAGACGGGTTCATTTTACTACTTTGTGCCTTCATTTTTCCCAAATAGAGGGTAATTTTAAGATATTCACTAGTTTAAGAACAATGCTGATCACAAATTCAGACCATTGTTAACAAAACGTTGCAATTCTAAATATTTACATTCTTATGTCAATGTTAATGTTTTTCACCATATTTCTCCACACCATTTCTGT